TTATACGAACTATACCAACAACTAGTACCAACAAAGTTGTACAACCAGAACAAGACAGGAACAGACACCACAAGCGATGTGAAGTGCCGAATGTGTCATGAATGCCCAGAAAGTGTACCACATGTAATTGCTGGATGTAATGCGCTTGTTCAAGCTAAGCATGTGACAAGGAATAACGCAGCCCTCAAAATTTTATCTTTTGAGCTGCTTAATGACTTTGATCTGATCGAGTGCGTCCTAGAATTGGTATTCATCCACAACCCCTAAACCTGAGTACCACAACACCAAAGCAGGCACCTATTGGGATGTACCAGTATTTGCAGAGAATACTGAAGTGAGAGCCAACCGAACAGATGCTCGAGTATTTGACAACGAGACGAAGACAGTAAAGATTATAGAGATGAGTTGTCCTTGGATAGAGAACAGGAAGCAGAAAGACCAGGAAAAGACCACCAAGTACACACACTTAAGATTGGAACTCAAGGGTTATGCCATCAAGCAATATAACATTATTATAGATGTACCAGGAGGATATCAGAAACCAGAGAAAATGGGAAACTACTCCTTAGCTTGGCAAGACAAAAGCTGACAAGACTTTATTTAACATGCAAAAGTCTGTAATATCAAGTACATTGAACATTACAAGGACCTTTAAAGTTCTCTCATAAAATAGTTCATCTCAATCGAACACTATTTATTAACTGAATTAATGAATAATGAATTATTAATTTTAGTTTAGTTTATAATTTCTCGTTTTAACTAACATCGTAATTATTGGGATACCTGTGATATCACAGTCATAAAATGTCTTTGAATATTTTTTTCTGTCTTCTCCACGACAAAATGGGAAAGTTGCGCAATAGTACCCAGGGGTCTTCAGAAACTTACACAAGAGACCTTTCCATAGTCCAATTAATTATCATGTACCAGATGTCAATCAATGTCACTTTGTTGTCAAGTGATTAGGAGAGGGCGGAGCACGTAGCACAGGTTTATGTCTAAGCATGCTCTATTTCGTTGACTGCTGTAATTCAGGACAGCCAAACTAGAAATATTAATTTATCAATTTCGTAAACAGAGATTTAAAGGCAAGAAGATACCGATGGTTATGAAGCGATTATAACTTCATGAGCAATAGCTTGTTTTGGTTTACTCTTCATGATTCATCTACTCGAGCAGTATTTTCTGCACGAACGAGCGAAGATCGATAAGGAGTACAGGGTTTCAAAAGTCAGAATTTATACGATAAACGATACTGCAAATTCATTAAGCATGACAATATAGAT